TAAATGGAATCTTTTTTTTCCCTCAATCTTTTCTAGCCAAAGTGATTGAATCTTTTGTGGTTATTATTTGTGGAAGTTTCAAAAGTTGTTGGTACAAATCGAGATATATATATATATTTTGGCCATAAAGACAAATTTAATTTAGCAACACACATAAATTGTTGGAGTATCCTTAATTTTGAAAATTAAGACAATTCGAGGGAAATTATTAGGAATATGGTGGTCCCTAAATCATGTTGATGAAGCAGATGTTTCACCACCAAAACAATTGCTATAGCTTTATGATCATTTGTCAACTTTGGCATGGTTTATGCTACTGCTTTTTTGGAATGGAAATCTGCCTTTTAAATATATAGCGTGAAAAATATTAATTAGGATTCTTCTTTTATTCTTTTGTGTGTGTTATAACGCTAGTTCAAAAGATTTATTGTATATTAGTACTCCTGAAGTGGAAGACCCTTTGAGTAAATTAATAAGGGTAATAATGAATATAACATTGCGTGCCCAAAAAAATAAATATTGATGAATAATGATAAAAGAGTGTTAACAAAAAAATAAATATTGATGAATAATGATAAAAGAGAGTTAACGATCTAAATAACTTAGTGGCCATCTTCTTTCACGAAAAGTAAGAAATTTTGAGTTCGAGTCATATAATATACAGATGAGATGGGATAAAGGGATAAGAAATTGTTGTCTTCCATTGTGCAATCAAGATAAAAAAATAATAATAAAAGAGAAGAATTTTATGAAACTAAAATTTAAAACTAATAATAAGAAATAAATTATGCTATTTAAAATATTAAAAATTAAATTCTATATTATATAATAATTTTTTTTATTTTATCAAAACTCATAATATTATATATACTAACTAATTTAATAATATGTCACATGCCACATCATTTATCCTAAATATTTGCCTTCTAAACCATACATGCCATTGCGTTTTAATCATCGTAATAAAAAGCGTGAAAAAATGTATGCCAAACTTGCATATCCTGTGAAGTTGACATCGTCAAAAAAAATTTTGTGCGTAGGAAATACAAACCCCATAATTAAATTATCAAGCTATTCCATATTTCATTTTTATATTCAAATCCCTCCAAATTAATTCCGGTCTGTCCATGGTATATATAACTATGTATCTTTATAATAAATATTCTGCATTTTACATAACAGAAGTTTTTTATTTTTTGTTATTATTATTATTATTATTTGATAAAGGGGGAAATTTGCAGCTGAAAGCATATTTTTTAAGATAATACTATAGCTACAATGCTAAGTAAGATTGTAATTTTATACTTATAATAGAGTATTAAATGAGTTAATACATATAATATTATGGATGAATTTTTAAATATAAAATAAATCAATTATATAATAATATATTATATTATACATTTATAACGTCACGTCTAATTATAATTATAATATTATTATATTTTTTAGCCAAGGAAATATTTTATCTTTTAAAGACAAAAAAAAATCAAAAATCAAAAAATGAGTGTGATTTTTCACTGGGCTCATACTCGTGGGCCTCTTATGCATTAGCTGAATTGTAGCAGAAGTGCAGAACGCACGACACTATAATTTGCTTCAAAATGGAGTTGGGCTTTTTTTTAATATTATCAGTCGGACCTGTCTTAGAGAAGCCCAATACTTTTCCTTCCATTCGATTGGGCCTTAGCCCTTAAAATCACATTACCACTGAACTGTACTTGACTCTTTTACTATTTATTAACAAGAATTAATTGAATTAAAATCTATTAATTTAAAATTAATATTAAAAATTTAAATCTTTATATTATCAAGTAGTTATAACCTTGCAATATATTAAAAAAAAAAAACTCTTTTACAAGTTAGAACAATGGCAGTTTCAGGGAGCGTTTGGTTAAAGGAAATCTCATTTTACAGTTGTGAAGTGAGTGAGCACTGACTCACTTAGCACTTCCCTTACCTTTTAGAAAATGCAAGAAAAACACAAAAAGTAGCTTTATTAAGTGAGCAATTTTCCGAGTCAACACTTTATTTTAACAACTTGGTTCATCGATTTTTTTTTTTTTTTTAAGATATTGCAATTAGTTACAGGTTAATAGAGGATGGGAGAAAGGATTTTCGTGGGTTTCAAACGTATAATTCACAAAAGGTAAACAACCTTAATTCAGAATTCGATGTCACTAAACCAGAACAAGCCATTCAAGAGTTCATCTATCTTATATATTAAAGATATAAGATAAAAAATAATTATTAATTAATAATAATAAATTTTTTTAAATGTAAGATTTTAAGTAAAAAAAATAAATTTTGATTTCAATTTCAAAATAAATAAATAATTAAAACATAATATTTATAATTAAAATAAAAATTAATTTTATTTTTTTAAAAATAAAAATTAATAAAAATTATTATATTATTATTATTTTTTAACTTACACTCTAAAAACACAATAAATAAACCCTAACTTTAAACTAAAATGATTTTCCTACTCTTTTTTTTTCCTCTATTCTGATCGGCATATTTTCTAATTACCTTTATACCTTTTTAAAATACAAACCAAATACAAAAATTAACCTTTGTAAATTAAGCACTTTGCCTACAAAATACTTTATCAACAAGTGGTCATCATTAGCTTAACTAAACTCAGAAAACAGAGATGCTACACATTTCCTACATAATAACATATACAATATTATATTATATTAAATAAATAAACACATGTAAATATCAAGCGTAATTCTTAAATAAATAAAATTAATTAAATAATATTAAACCAGCCATCACATCACATTATTTAAAAAACAAAGTTGCGCACTTAGCTGTTGTACCCAAAAAATGGGCTCATCTACCTTTTCCAATACTCATTGTAATTAAAGCAACACACCGAAGTCAAGTAATTTAGAAGATTTTATTTTGAGTAACATTTTTAAATAAAAAAATTATTTAATTTGTATTTT